AGGTTATTTTTTTTTTCTTCTTTTAGGAGTCCCTTCTTCAGGTAAGAATCTAGACGCACAAGTTCATATCGGATGCTTTCTTAATATGTGAGTGTGCATTTGTTACTTTTCAGGACCATTGCTCCCAGCTATAAGTACAATGATGCAAGTACTGTATTAAGCGTTATTTGCAGACTATGTATTTTGTGTAGAAGCAAACCTCCATTGCACTTGGTTGTGTTAAAGAATGAAGAAGGATGAGGAAAGTGATAGTATCCCTTTTTTAGTAGCTTCCAAATTACATCTAGGTGTCCAGTAATGCCACACGTTCATTAAACTGTACTCCACTTTTTTTTTTTAAATTTCATATTTGAAAGATAATGGTTTGGAATATTGATTTTATAATGATATACACCCATCATTAACCAAGAGGTAGCGTGTGTCGGAAATTCTATTATCTTGGCAAATCAACAAGCCAAAGTTAACCTGCCCTTATAACAGCACTTAATCCTTTTCGCGTCAGATGGTACCTGCGACGTCTATGGGCCTAATCAAGTAGATTCCAATAGAGATGGGCGCATCTTCCACAGACTTTCTCTTCCATCTCTGGGCGCCTTGGAAGAGATATCTCGAGGGAAACCAGCAGAGGCCTCTCTACATGAGAGATCGTAAGTAAAGACTATATAACAGTACACACACATACATGCATACATCCACATAACCACAGACACATTAATAACAGTTAACCTCTCGTTTTGTCCAAACAGCTATGCCCCCGAATACGCCAATGACGACTCGAACACAACCATGTACCACAGCGCCAATGGCATTGCTCGTACATGGTGGATGTTGGATCTGCTGCAGCAGTGGAAGGTGTACGCAGTTGAAATCTTACCCAGGAACGATTACCTACCAGCTGTTGGGAGATTCCACGACATAGAGGTTTGTGAAATTAAATCTTGCTTAGACACTTGCATATCTATACTGATTATGTATTTAATATTAATATTCTGAGACCATCACGGAACATTTGCATTGTTTTTCTTCCTAAAGATGTGGACTGGGTTTTCTCGATTGTCTGTCCCTTTCCTACTTACTTTGGTCTAACGCATTGTGTATATTCCGTTTAAGATGCTAAATGCCTTCACAGGTACAAATGAATTTAAGCACTTGCATGATTATTTCAGTATAAAGTGTTAAATGCACAGTCTAATATTGGAACACAGGTTGAAAATGTTTATGAAGCAGTGGAAGGTATAATAAAAGATATACCATAAGTTGTACTGAAGTGACCGTCTCAGCATCTATAAACTGTTGTAGATGGACAGATGGACGCTATTCCTATCGCTGGTACTGAGACCGACTTTTCCCATTGGGTAACAATAGACAGACGGCAGAAACAACGATACCAATTGGTCCATCCCTATTTGCGAAAAGATTAACCGTATTCAGCCCAATTATGCCCTACTCTGTAGATTAATAGGCTTTTAAGAGGTTCTCATCATTGGCCTGCTTTGATAGAATAGATGAAACTGATGTAATTATATTGCTTCTGACTCATATTAAAGTTTCATATGCAAAGAGGCATATAATGCCTCATTACTGGTGGCCTGAGCCGAGACATAGGTATGTTGACCACAAAGAATTCATATGGGTCGTACGATCTTTTCTAATAGGTAGTTGGTCAGCCTAGAAACACCCGCTCCTAAGAGACTGCTACCTCACTACAGTTCATTATGCTCTGACTCTGACTATCTGCGACCACCCTGCGGTCGTTATTAACGTAAATTACGCCTCTCCTACCAAAAATAAAACAATATTCGAATTATTCGAATCGTGTGGCTGTGATAATTCAATGACAATCCTGAGATTTCCAGAATTCTTTATAGCCATCGCATCCTGCAGCTTTTCTGTTTGTAAATCCATAACAACAATCACTTTACCATTCACAAAGCCATCTGTGTCGAGCGAATGTTCCTTTTCCAACCCCTGCGCATTCATGATATAAATCTGAACAAGGGCTCATGCTTATATTGTAAACATAGTTGCAAATATTTTGCTCAAATGATTATGATCGAAATGCACAATAAAATGAGATAACTTTTCAGTAATCGTTGATCTTCAGGCATGTCAATAGCGAAATGGGTGTGATGACTTGCCATGACATAAGTCAGCTCACTGCCAAGCACATTCTCTTTGTCGTCACTGGTGTTAATGCATCACTGCTCCTGGTGCCCCGCGAGGACTCGGCGTCGAAGAGTTTGTTTTCGCTCATGTTTATGTTGCTGTCGCGTTTTACATACACACGATTTTTATTACAGAATCACCCTATTAATGCCGGGAGCATTATTAGGGGTTCCAATGCATCTTTTTCTGCACAGGCATCAGGACGGATATAGTTTTCCCTTTAACATTTCTGCCTGCCTTATGAACACCTGAGAGATACCGCTTAGCTATGGGACTGCGCATGTAATCATATTGTACTGAGGCAAAATTATGTAATATTTTCTTTCCTTTTCTAGAAAACGAGGACGAGGATAAGGATGCAAAATAACATCGAGTATATTCAGTCCTGTGATAGGAGATTGTATTTGATCTAATTCAGTCCACCGTATGAATGACTTGACGGTAAAATTCCAAGCTGTGTAAAAAATTACCACCAAGTGTCCTAGCGAGGGATTTATCTATGTATTTCGGTTATTGGCTGGGGCTGCTTTTCCACAGCTATAGAGGGAAGAGGTATGCTCATCCCTTCATCAGCGACGGAGCGACACTCGCTCTCGCACTATCCCGCATTACTTTTTCCTTGGGAAGAGCACAGCGCAAAATAATTAGCAGTCTTCTTCCTTCACCCCTGCTTCGATTTGCCGCGCCGCGCTCTCGCAGCTGCGAGCATCGCGTGCGCCTTTCTCGCTCGCAAGCACCGCTCGCGGGGCCCTAACTCATTTTTACCTGGTGAACTCACATCCAGGGATGCTTCGAATATGCTCTTGTAAATACCATCATAAATCTTGCTAGTATTATTACCATTTGCGGTGTGGTCACAGACTATAGGGGTTAGATGGCGATCGACTGTGGGTTTGGGAACGAGACGATACTTTTTCATATTTCTTATAGATAAGTACATGCGCTTATAGCAAGCGGGAGTAGAGTGGAGGGAATGTTGCTACTGGTGCAAGATAACAGAATTCTTTTCTCCTTTTTAAGAGAAACTTTCTTCTGAGAAAGAAATTTAAAAAAAAACCTCGACAATGCAATTAATCTGCTGTTTATGTAGCTGTAATATAAAACCTGAACTACATTTGGGTTTTAGTGAACAAATGAACGATAATGCATCAGCAAAGCGAGGTGTGAGAGGTGGCTTTGACATAGTGGGGGTTGCATGTCATCAATCGTATTGTAAGTATTGATTTGTCAGGATATCCGTTCCAGCGGACTAGATATTCTGTATTTTAGTTCCGTTCCACCACGATGATAAAATCTTGTACAATGCTCGCTCTTATTTCGAATGCGTTGTATATCATGCATAATTGGTTCGTGCAGTAACCCATTCACTGTAGTATTTACAAACCCTAGCCCCACATCAGTGAAGAGGAGAGTTAAATCTTTAGGATCCTCGGTATTGAAAACTGATTGTAGCGCGTGCGCAGCCTCTGCCTTGCTTTTACTCTTTAACGGTCTTACTTGTATATAACGACTAAACGGTTAATGATTTCTTGCCTACCATTGCTTTCCAACTCTTTAACCTTGCTAAGTAAACTGTCTGTTCTTTCTCCTGTAACCTACTTACTACATTAGGCCAGATATCCATTCATGAAGTTATTTTGCCCAAAGCATTCTAGATATCCAAGACTAATGCAAGAAAGTGTTATTTTTATGTTATGCTACTCTGCACATATGAAAGAGAAAAATAAATTGTACTATAATGCTTACTTCTAATAAAATACACAGCTCAGATCTTACCCTCGACTCTCAGTACTTTTCTCCGTCCGCCATCAGGTTCGCGTTGGCACCACATCAAGAAACGGCGAAGACTTTTCCGCCTGGACTTTGCACGGGCAGTATGTAGGCCCTTACACGGTAGCCCAAGGACGCCTCAGGTTTATGAAGAGCGGAGGCAGTTCTGGCAGGTACCTCGTCATCCAGAAGGTGTCCAGCGATACTGATCAACTTCAGATAGTTGACGTCAGGGTGTATGCAGAACTCATTCAGTAGATACTTTTCATTGCAAAGCACACAAAGGATAGGAAATTCAGAGTTCATCTTTATTTTTTAACTTTAAAACGATATATATATATACATATATATATATATATATATATATATATATATATATATATATATATATATATATATATATATATATATATATATATATACATATATATATATATATATATATATATATATATATATATATATATATATAAATATATATATATATATATATATATATATATATATATATATATATATATATATATATATATATATATATATATATATTAAAATGTTTACTGCCATTGGGTAGAATCGAAAAAACAGATTAACTTTGTACTCCAATGACCATTGAAGCAGAAAAATCAGGTGAAAAAGTTAATAGGCATAGATATCAGTTTTTGTTTGTCAGTAATTATTGATAAAAGCTTGTAGAAAGTGATGTTGACATACGTATTACAGCATGCTGAGACACATTCATGTCAATCATTAATTAATAAGTGGGAGGCGTTACTTTACGGAGCGCTAGGCAGCAAATGTTGTGCTTTGTGTCAGTAAATAAGGTGGCTCTTTGCAAAAGTTGAGTAATAATGAATTATTATTGGAAATGACACCTAGCACCGAAACTGAAGAATCTAACCTCACCACTTGATACAACGTATAATAAGACATTTTTCTTCAATAGCATACCCTTCGCAAACTAATAACACTAGTAGCAAGGATGTGAAACAATACCTGCAAACGCCCCATGATAGGTCCGCTTCCAGAGCGCAGAAATCGAAAAGCGACGAAACAATTAGACGGAATTGTAGCGAATGACGCTAGCTAGGGAAATGAATGAGCCCATCATGTTTGGCTTTGAGGCGACGATAGACGCTGGCGACCAGTTTATTAGAGCCAATAAGATATATAATAGATAATTAGGTAGCAACAAGAGCTGAGCCAATGAAGTCGGTTGAAATTCAAATACGTTATATCATGGCTAGGTGTATATAAGATGCTGGAAAAGTTGTTTTGTCTTTAATATGCAAAGGCAGTAACGAAAATGAGCGGCGGAAAGTGGTCGCAGTTCCCGCTGACAATGAAGACAAGCTCTACCCAGAAAAACAGGTGAGGATCTTGCAGACCACGCAGGGCGAAGGGCGGCAGCTTCCTCTTTCACGGCAAGGGGTGGTTGCTGCCCCTCCTGAAAGGGGGTTTAGGGGGTGAAAAACTCTCATTACCATGAATGGGCATTGCAACTGCGAAAATATTCAGAAGTTTATATCAATCTTTCGCTTTCACGCCGCACTTTTCTTGACCTCCAAGACATCGGGGATGATATCGTAGCTGTGTCGTTTACGAAGGAAATGAGCACTGGAATCGTTCAAAACACGATGCTAACTTTAAAAGAACACATTCTTCACTTGAAAAAGGTTTACAAATTTACCAATAACTCTTATGTCATATCTTCCAGAGATTACATGTATGAACAATAATGAACAATAATAATGAGAATCAGTAGACGAATGTTAAATAAAAAAGAAAATAAAACAATTATGACAAACTGGGTGCTGAGTTGTCAAGTAGAATTATATCATTCTGTGAATCCTATTATATGGGACCTACTACTGGGGCAGATGACACTCTGGCGACCGACGGCTGCAACAGAACTAGCAAGAGGCGTTTGTAGCGCATCTTAAGGCGGTTCAAAATGTTAGCGTGAGAAAAGCGCATCAGACTACGCAGGCGCTTCGAAGCCAGTTAGTCCCTTAGGAGTCAGGCTGTCTGCAAGACGTTGGTCCCCGGCAAAAGAGCGAAAATTAATTGAAAGATGATTGTAGTACAATATATACTAATCAACCGTGGCAAAGGTTAAACTGCTTGTGTAGTTTAATGACCTAGGCAGCCTACTCCTGCGGTACTTTGAACACTCTTATGAGGGCTCTGTGCAGAGGCTCCTAGCGTCAACACCAAGATCTTAGTGTAGTTTTGTTGGTGAATTTGTCTTGAGCAATTAGTTGTTGAAAAAGATGAATCTTAATCATAAATATGATAGGCCTCTCAGGAATCCCAGAGGGCCCTGCACTTTGAAGTTCCGTCCCTGTTTGGGGTGAGAAGTTTGAAAGAAGAGATTTTAACTTCTACTGCACTTCAGTAGTTCATCCAATGCATCGGTTTTAAAGAATGGATTATAAACCTTTTTCTCAACCCAGTCATTCTGCTTTGAGAAGAAATATATATATGCTTGTCGTTTTGTTTTTTATGCCCCCAAGTAGTTCTTTCATTGCATAGGTAAACATTACATATTAAGCTTAGCACCATGTGAAGATAATAGAGAGGTGGTACTTTGTTTAACTGAAGCATAGGGCGACCAGCTTGACCTCTGAACAGTGAGATTCAAACTGGAATGAGTGAGGTAAGTTGCTCATTCAAGTTATAATTAATAGGTAGACAAAGCAATTATTCCAAGTGCTATCCTTTGATTATATCAGTTGAAAAAGATAATAGCGTGTAT